TGGTCAAAATGCAAAAAAAAAAAAAAAAAAAAAATGTTATGTTTGGCATAAAAGTAACACTGCACATAACCCTGAACACACCCACCAGGCCCGCTGTCTAACACGGTGGTGGCAGCATTGTGGTCTGGACCTGCTTTTCTTCAGCAGGGACAGGGAAGAGAGTTAAAAAGTGATAAGGCCAAATACAGGGCCATTTTGAAAGAAAACCTACTGGGGTCTGCAAAAGACCTGAGACAGGGATGGAGGTTTACCTTCCACCAAGAGAATGATTGTAAACATAAAGCAAAATCTACACTTGAATGGTTCAAAACTAACAATATCCAGGTATTAGAATGGCCAAGTTAAAGTCCAGACCTGAATCCAATTGAGAAGCTGTGGAAAGATCTGAAAGCTGCTGCTCAAAAACACTCTCCATCTAATCTTCCTGAGCTCGAGTTGATTTGCAAGAAAGAATGGGCAAAAAAAATCAGTCTCTACATGTGCAAAACATGACCCAAAAGACTTGCAGCTGTAATTGCAGGAAAAGGTGGTTCTTCGAAGTATTAACTTGGAGGGGCCGAATAATTTTGCATGACCCACTTGAGTTTTTTAACTTCTAAGAAAAAAACAGTTGAAAATATTATTTGAATTACGTTCCACTTCATAACTGTGTGCCACTTAGTGTTGGTTCTCCATAAAAGAATGATGATGTTTTAGATCACAGGTGTCAAAGTCAAGGCCCGGGGGCCAGATCATTTTATGTGGCCCGCAAAAGCAGATCAAGCATGTCAAGTTCCACGATGCTTGCTAAAGTGAACCAAAATTTCAAATTGTCATATACAGGTATATTCTACAATAACAGTCATTATTCTTGACTTCTGATTTTAAAACTAGTTATTCATCAATTTGTTGTGCGCTGTAAATGTAATATGTGCAGGTGATTAAACATTTATCAGGTTTTCCAAAATTTGTAACAGCCCTCCAAGGGAAACCATAACTACAATGTGGCCCGCGACAAAAAATGAGTTTGACATCCCTGTTTTAGATCTTTATGTCTGAAGACTGAAATATGGCAAAGGGTCAAAAACTACTAGGGGGGCTGAAAGCGTTCGCAAGCCACGATATGCTTTTACATTCTTGGAAACATGCGCAAGTTGGACTGAACTTATCATGCATAGTCGAAAAAAGGGGACAAAAAAAAAATTATGCCAGAAGCAAAGTCATCTGTGACAAGTGTGTTGAACTGTTAAAGTGCAACGTGCATGCTGAGGATGTACCGCACGCATGGCGAGACAGCAACAGTGCACTTTGTCACAGCTTACCTCTGTCACCTGAAAGAGATGTCTGCTTCAGAGAGCTTCAGTTACCAAAGTAAATGCATGAGTGTAAAGAGAACAGGGGTTGGTGAGGCGGTGCACAGAACACAAAATCAGGTGGGAACAGAATGGAGGACTGGGACAAATTCCAAAACCTAACTAAGCGTGTCAGACAAGTGACGGAAACAAACTGTTGGGAACGTCAAAAACGCGGCGCAAAAATAAATGGTAGCCACATTTTGATTCAAAACAAGTGCCGTATGTTCAAAAGGAGTCTGGAAATAATGTTTGCATTGCAACCGAGTAGTTTATTCCCTGCATGTGCTGAAATTACTTCAGGAGGTTGAACAACGAAATGGAACCCAAACAATATTGAGACTCAACATTTTCAGCAATAATTAACATCATACCAGCTATGTTTCACAATGGATACTATTGTAGCCTTCGTCAATACCATGCCTTCACTTGTGATCACATTTATATGATTGAGTAAACAGAACAAAGGAATAAAGCACACTTTACAGCAGAGTTTGGCAGACCCAAAGAATACCAATTTGAGCCCCCACAGAAAGTTAAAAAAAAACAAAAAAAAAACCGGAATGCTTAACTGTGTGTTCCCCATGTCATTCATTATGGGGCATATTCTCCCGTTCGCACTCAAGTCAATTTTAAGTCAATTTTTCCCGTCTAAACGTCTGCCACACTCACCATGAGTAACCTGGTAATATGTGTGCAACCACCAAATAGGCATAATTAGGTAGGTTAAGTCCCGATGTCGGCCTAATTTCCAAATCGTGGAGTTTTCATAAGAAACGAGAATTCCAAAGGGATCCGTTTTGAACCTATGGCACACTCTTTGATTGTGAAATTAACTTCATGAAACGAAAAAATTCACATCGTGGATCCAGAAGTTATAGCTGTGACAAGCTACTTTGAAGGAGAATGGCTTTTTGCATTCATGTTTGAATAAATCCAATACAAACAATTTAATCAGAATACTGTGCTCATAAGGGAATGTTTAGGAAACCGTGCAAATTGCGAGTTGACCTGTGCATGCCTGGTTCATCAAATACCCTCAATAAAACTTACAGCCCATTATTACAATGACTGTAATGTTTGTGATGGCTCATAACGTGAAATATGACATTTTGCCTTCAAGAGAGGCAGTCATACCTGCGCACAGCCTCTGGAGGCCAAAAGATGCTTAAGTCTATGGGAGAATGCTCGCACTGACAAATTTGTCAGCGTCACGCCCAGATGTCAAGGTTGCTCCACCGAGAGTGCATACGTTTCACGAAGGTGCCACCTTTAAGCCTGGACGGGAGAATTTGCACAGCCGAAAAAGCGCACCCACGACTCAAGCACACGGGAGAATATGCCCCTAAGTGTGCAATGGAGGTTTCGCCTTTGCCTGCATTTGTTTTTATGCCGATTCAAAACATGCTTAGCTAACAAAAACAACTAACTTGATTAACAGATAACTTTTCTTGAAGGGGTGAGGTATGGGACAAGGAACAAATCATGAACCATGACCTCCATCAAGTCATCCTAATTTGGATTAGCTGATGAAATCTGGATCTGGGTCATGAATATATTCAATTCATGCTGTGATCAAATCCTGTTTTTGACCCAACAAATTCCATGGAAAGCCATCAGATAGTTTTTTCCCATGTTCAAATGAATGAATGGATGATTTGAATCAACAACATGTTCCATTGTTAATCATTTCATCCTTTGGTTTTTCTGCAGCTACCCATTACAGTGAATCGTGTCTGTTTACAATAATGACTGAGTCAAACTGGGGGCAGACAAACGCAGGCAAAACCGTAACCGCCTCTGCTTGTGAAGGGAAGAATCCCAATACACATTTTCGAGCTCTTCCTGATCAGCTGGTATTAATACACTCAGGGAATTTCACACAAGAGACTTCAGTCAAGTGTGATTGACTTCTGTTACAAAAGCTGTCCACTCAGGTTGTACCTTTACGCGTATGTTTTTTTACTGGGCAGCCTTTGGTCAGATGATAAGTGTGAAAGAAAAAGAAAAAAAGAACCAAACGCGTCATTCAAATGACGCACAGTGCTTTGATCCAGACCAGAGACCCCAAGTGCAAGTGTGAAACCATTCAAAGAGTGTCTTGCTGAGGTGTTAAAGGCATTGCAATGTAAGAGATAGCACAGAAATAAAGTCCACTTTAGATCCTTCCACTGCACAATAAGCAGAGAAAAGTCACACAAGTATTTGAAAATATCAAGTCGTCTCCCAATAAGAGAAACGCCATACAGTGAAAACGGGGGTTCAAAACTAGCATGCACAAACAGTACACGGGGAGTGGTGGCAACGTGAACCCGACATGAGCAAGTGCATGTTTTCTTTTGGGAAAAAAAGCCTTTATCTTCAAAATCCGGCCACCAGAAGCTATCACACTTCCTTCCTTCTGAGCGCAGCGGAGCACTTTAGAAAGGTCACGGTTAAAAACGCTCACAATTCAGTTCCAGTTCTGCAGTGAATAAATTAAAAATAATAAAGTTCTTCTGTAACCTACCAATGGCTGCTTTGTTGCCACACAATAATCTGAATGTTTCACGCTTTACATAACTGCACATATTACAAAATGCCACTCTTTTAGACCGATTTCTTTTTTTTCCTTTTAATAAACAGCAGCTTAGGTGGCAAATATAATTCATTTGAAAGATTTGTACCAATTGAAATCATAAATGTTTACCAATCGTGAATTTATTTAGTTGAAGCTGCTCTTTCAGAAATGGAATACAACTTCAATAAATGAAGGTAACCGACTTGTTCTACTCAGCGCACGCACCTGCTGCTGCAAACGGCTGTGCCTCAAGCAGGGCAAAAACACGCTTCGTGACTTGGCCACGTCAATCTCTAAACATCACTGGGGAGTCGACTGGTCGACTAGTTTGTACAAGCCCAGTACAGTGGTCCTTGGTTTAAGATGGTCCCGACATCGGTTTCGAGGTAACAAGGGGGGCATCTGTTTTCTCATCAAGTTGCCTTTTAAGAGAAGCAACTTTGAGAAAATAATATCACAGTGGATGCAAATCGAGTCACGAATAAACAGTGTTGGAAGGTAAGGCGCAAACCAGTATTAAGCATGGAGTAAGCACGCAGAGCAGATGTGAAGGTGTCCGCAGTCACTACCGTCCGTCAGAGCGGCTTAAGTGGGGCACGGATTGGCCCAATCAGTCGAGGACGCGTTCTTTCCTTTCACACCACATATTGGTACGTCTCGGCCTTCCCGTGGTCAGGGGTGGAGAACGGGCTAAACCAGAGTAAGGAGAAAGGGTGTCCAAACACCGCCCTCAAGTTCATCCATTTAGTTTTTTTAGCCCATCTTCTCTCTTCTTTTTTCAACTGCTCTATGCCCTAAAAACAAAAGATAACCAAACTTCAGTTGGTGTGCTCTCTGGCCCAGTCAGCAATCACAAAGTGTCATTTATTTGAAATTGTGGTAGCTTTCTTTACAATTGCAGATATTTACCAAGTGATATGCTACAGTAAAACCTAGAAAACTGACAGGCCAATGCCTGATGTGGAGAGTTACTCTATGTGGAAAAAAATAATGATTAATTAAATTTAAAAAAACATTTGTTGCATTTCTACTCCTTTATTATTCAGAGATGAAAGTGGACTTTTCTGAAAATTCCGGAAAAAATAAATACACACACACACACACACATGCGCGCGCGCGCACGCACGCACTTGGCCGATCAAGCATGAATTAGTTTATACAAAACGCTATTCAAATACTCGACATTCAATGATTAATCTTCCTTTTGAGTGCACACGTGTACCCTTTGTGGCTTCCGTTCGGGCCGAAATTTCGAAATCTCCAAGATATGGCGAGGCCATGAGAATGCGAGGCGAGGGGATTACTGTTGTGGTGACTCCACTCAAGCTAAGCGAGCCTCAGCAGTAGATAGTCCGCTGCTCTCTGCTGTGCGGGTTTCAGCGCGAACATGTACGCAAGCGCGTCTTTTGATTTCAACCAATCAGCGCCGACGCAAATGACGTCACACACGACAACAGCTAAGCTAAGTTAGCCGAGACGACACTATGTCGGACGGACACGATTTTCTGCCAATCTGTGTTTTTCCCTTTTTGGCCAAATATATATTTTACGACAACTGTCTTGTTGACGGCGTCTTTTATTCGTTACACTGGGGTTTAGCGGGTGTGTTTATAAAGAGACGAAAATTGTTTGGGGACTATCCCCCACGTTCTAGTTGAGATGGTATAACCCAAGAGGCAAAATGACGCTTGCTACTGTTGTTGCGAGTTGCCATTCGTTCTACTAAACCATTAGTCAAACGCCATTATGCCTTCTGTCGTTATTACACAAACAAAAATCTCTTTACTGTTACTAGTGTTAGTGCCTCAATATGGCTACGCTCGTGAAAGCAATACAACGAACTCAAACGCGTTTTCGTTCAATGTTGTCAACAAATATCCGGATTATGCAAATTTTCCTCAATTCTCCGGAGAAATTTTCATAAAAATTTGAAAAACCCGGAATTCCGGGAAAATCCGGAGGACTTTCATCTCTGATTATTAAAAAACAGGACACTGGTTCAAATAGACATTGCAGAAAATGCACAAATTGTGATTCAGTTACTCCGTTGGCCTGTAACATGTCGGAGCAAATGTTATTTTCCTCATGTAAACGCAGCTGTTTGCAAACGTCCTGTACGGATTAGACACAAATATAATCACTACTCTGGTTAACAAAGAGCCTTGTATTCCAATTGGAATGAAACCAAACTACCAAATGGAACAAAAATACTCATCACAGGGCAGATCAGAATGAAATTTCATTTGGATTCAAAGGGGGTCAAATTCCTGTCACCACTACAGAGTATGAAATTATTAATTTCATTAATTATACAAAATGAAAAATTATAGAAGGAAAATGAGAAGAGTGCTTCAAGTAACCTTTCAACTGTAGTTTTTGAACACTGAGTGGCACCAACGTAACCTTGAAAAAGAAGAGATCTGACGTGACACCATATCCATGGCGCTCTGCTACACCGTAAATATGTGAATAAATAAAGGAATATAAGACTGACTATTGAGATTACTGCAGTGATCAAACTTGAATTTCAAAGCCCAGACAGCAAACGCCACCCATTTTGAAACCCTTCGCAGCCATTGAAAGTTTCTTCCAACTGTTGAGCTGAGTGCAACGAAGCTAGATGCTAATGCTAGTCCTCTGCCGGTGGTGATGTTACCTCCCTTTCGTTCGTGATGCCGTGTGCATTGCTGGTCAAAAGTAATGGGATACAGAGGCAACAATATGTTGTGTACTTATTTTGTCATGATAGCTGAATGAAATAGTAGAGTAACAGAAATACATCGGGCAAGGTTTATCACCTCCACACAAGAGTAATGAGATACATAGGGTGATCGATCAGCAATTAAAGGCTTTGATCGCGTTCACAGATCACATACTTCCTCACGCATACCGACTGATAAATATCTGATATAATCAGACCATCCCTAATCAAAACAATGTGGACGACGCTTGTGCATAAGGCAGGCATGGAAATTCAACCGTTACAAGCAGCGTGTGGTTAATCAAAGTGTTTGTCACGTTAAATCTACTCCAGAGAGTGTTACAAAGAAAGAAATTACTTAAATTTCAAAATAGAAGCGATGACATACTGAAAATGCACACGCGCACACACACACACACACACACACACACACACACACACACACACACACACACACACACACACACACTAACCACTGAGGGTTGCTCACCGAGGCATTTTGTATCTAATTCATCTTCATGTCTATGGTATCGGAGATTTGAAGCGTTCCGGTGGTTTGCAAACTTCCTATATAATCCCAGACCACACACATTACCACCATCGTGTTTTGATTGTTGGTATGATGTTATTTTTCTGAAATGCTGTGTTACATTTACGCCCGATGCAATGAGCACACACTTTCCAAAAGGCTACATTTTGTTTTTGTCAATCCATAGATTAATCTCCCACGTCTTGGAAATCATTCAGATGTGTTTCGCAAAAGTAAGACGAACCATTGTTATTTTCATCAGGCTGTGGCTATGGTCACTGAAAGTTAACTAAAAAATGTGATTGGCCACAGTAAATTACTGATTTAACAAGGAGGGGTCAGGGGGTGCAAGCACTTTTTCACACAGGGTCAAGTAGCTTTGAGAATATATTTTTCCACCCTTAACTCAAATCACCATTTAAAAACTGCTTTTTCTGTTTACTTTGGTTTGATGAGTTTAAACATTCAGAGGATAAACTATGCAAAAAAAAAAGTTTTTTGAAGAGGGCAAACACTATGTACAAAGCCAGCCAAATCATTATATACACAGATCAGTCAGTCAAAGGAAAACTTGCATAAATATGTTAAAACTAAATGTATTCAGATAGCATGAGATTAGTACAAGTTACCGTATTTTCCGCACTAAAAGGCGCACCTAAAAGCCTTCCATTTTCTTAAAAGCTCACAGCGCCTTAAAATCCGATGCGCATTGTGTATGGTTATTACGGTAATATCTCGGTCGACCCACAAAATGGCTCTTTGCTAGAGACATGCTTACAACGCAGAGTTCAAACTTAAGGCGATCGGGTTACGCAGTTGAACACGGAAAGAGAGTTCAACGTTAATGAGTCAATGTTATAACTTGCTGTTGGTTCAGTGAACTGTGTCACTGCTTTATTAAATAAGTTTTACTGACATCTGATCGTTCTGTTGGTCTTTCATTGAGTGTAGCTCCATCTAGTGGATGCATTGTAGATTGCGTCTTATAATGCGGTTCGTCCAATATGTGAAAAAAATTACAAAATAGGCCATTCATTGAAGGTGCGCCTCATAATCCAGTGCGCCTTTTAGTGTGGAAAATAGAGTACCTTTGACCTCTACAATTACAAGAGGTGCTAAAAATGGTGGCCATTAGCTTCGAGTCATTGATGTGTACGGCAGACTACTGCTTCGCTAACCTTGGCCAAAGTGTCTTGCGGCACATGCATCTTCACGTGTTTAACTCGCCCAAAGATATTCTAACGGTTGTTGTGTATCGCAGGAACTACATTGGTGGACCTGTGACGAAAAATCGAAATTATTTATTTTATATATTACATATGACGTTAAAATCTAATATAACAATTATAAATAACTTTATAAGCTTGGTTCCTCCCAGTTAAAACTTCCACCATGATATACATCTGTTCAAAAGCACAAGGCAGATGGATGTTTAGCCAAACCCTTACAGTAGGTACTGCATTTAATCACAATGTAATTTTTTTCAGAAAAAGGTTTCTTCTTGTGGTGCTCATCTCATATGTACTACATTTATTTTAATTTAATTTGAAACGTTTTTTTAGAGAAATAATTGAAATATTTTCCATTGTTTCGCATCAGGTTTTTTCTCACTTCCGGCTCCTGCCTCCCTGTGTGGAGTTTGCATGTTTTCCTCGTGCCTGCGTGGGTTGTCTTCGGGCACTCCAGTTTCCTCCCATATTCCAAAAGCATGGCAGGTTCATGAAATATTCTAAATTGTCTCTAGGTGTGTGTGTGAGCATGAGCCCAAATGGTTGTTTGTCTATGTGTGGCCTGCAATAGGCTGGCAACCATTTCAGGGTGTACCCTGCCTACTGCCTGAGGACAGCTGGCATAGGCTCCAGCATGCCTGTGACCCTCGTGTGGATACGCAGATTAAAAGATGGATGGATGTTTAAAAATAAAATAGATTGTGTTTAATTAAAACCCGTTAAAGTTAGGAGGGCCCGCTGAAGGGCCCTCCATCATCTGTCAAAACAAATCGCTGATTTACGTCGTCAGCTAGGTATATGTGTGAACATGTTATGCATCTTTTAAAAGCTGAGTTTCTAGAGATTTGAATAGTACCCTACATGTTACAATTGTAAAATTTGAACCGGAACTTGGGGAGACCTCAAGCTTTGATCATGTCGTGTTTTCAAGTCCGAATCAACATTCTTAATCCATTTTCAAGGCAGATATTATGAAAAGAAATTTGATGAACATAAGATTCGCCTTTTTCTTCTGTTTTCAAACATCCATAGTTCAGTGACAGGAGCACTTACACAAATTCTTACTGTATGGGATAAATATTCATAATGTAACATTTTGAATATTTCAAAAAGTGACCAAAACTATGCTGATACTCCAAATGGTTCAAGAATAGCTAAAAATTGACTTTGGGTGCACCTTTCCACAGGCGTTTTCAGCAAAGTTGCCCTCGGTTTAAGGGGTTAAAGGAGAAAAGTATTTGTTCATTACACAACCATTTAAAAGGAATATATTTCCTATTAATTATTACTATGATAATGAATATAGTCATATGTATAGGTTTTAATATAATAATACATTTGACATTTCAGAGCTGTAACTGCAACACCATGAAATCATGATATTTTTGTTTACGGTTATCATGCCGTCAGAATCTGATTAAGTGGCCCAACGGGGAGGAAGAAAGATGTTTTCAAAGAGGAAAAGTGTGACACTCCTAATTAAACACTTTCTCTTATTATGCAAAGAGACTTGATGATTGTTTTGCATCACAAGGCACCATCTGATGATCGAAAGATTACCATCAGCTCTTTTAGTTGTCATAAAAAGAAAGAAAAGCGTTGTGACTTCAGCTAAATGAAGAAACTAATTGACATTTTTCGGTCTCGCTACTTCATTTTATTTTAATTTTAGCACTTCTTTGAGTAAAGGGGTGACAATGCTCCTTCCAGTTAGTGCAATTTTCTAGTCGGGGGTGTGAATAGCTTAGCTTGTGTTGCTATTAGCTAACTGGTACAATTTGAGTGGTTAAAGACATTGTATTTGCGGCAACCTTAAAATAATAACATTCAAATAATAATTCCTTTCATACAATAGGGCACCTCTACTTTAGAACAGATGTTCTCATGAAACTATTGCCATCATATTAATAAAAGGTACAAAGTTGATCAAACAGACTATAGTCCTGAACTTCTTGTGGCTGGTCGTCGTGCTCACATTTCCTTTAGAAGAATGGGAGGCAAAGTTGAAAATGATTACCAGTGTTTTTTCATAGACTAAGTACAGTAAGTACAGACATATTAAAATATTTTTTTAATTTAGTAATGAACAGAAAACAGCAGTTTTAGTGCTAAAATAACTGTGTTTTATAGGTGCTATGCTTCCTACTTCGAAATGGAAATTTTATAGTTTTTTTCCCCCCCTGATTGGAAAAATGTAGAGGTTTTCTTGAGATGTTGTGTTTATATATTCAAGCAGATAATTATTATTCAAAATAGGGATTTTTTTTTTTGCACAAATTACAAAAAGCAAGGGAATTCTTTCATTAGGGAACAGTCATGCTTGTGTGTTGAAAAGTTGTTGTCTTTGAGAAAATATGTACAAGTTAATGACAAAAAAAAAACATTCTTACAATCAACCACTACAGATAAATGAGCAACATTTACATTTAAATACAATACTGTCAATTAGGGTACATCAATATCCAAGAATTATATATATTGAGACTCTTGTGAAAGGGGTTGAGGATTAGTTTGCTGGTGAATTGGTCACATTTCAAGCAGCAGAGAGAAATGACATTGGGCTAGCAATTAAGGAGAGATGTGGGGGGGGGGTTCAAGGATAACTTATAACTCGATGGGTTACTTACAGTTTCATCAGTACAGATGGAGTGGACTTGGGTACCAAACATCACAGAGGTGAAGATGAGGAAGAGGAGGCCCTCAAAGCACAGGAGTATGAGGAGGATTACTGTTGCTGGTGGAGAGAAGGAACTGCACTCTGGGAAATGAGGATATGGAGGAAGAAAAGCACGAGGGACAAGAGGCTTATATGAGGTTCTACTCGACTCTAGAATGATCTCTCTGTCTGGGGATCTTCTACAGATGCGATAGTTCCACAACCAGATATTTGCTTCTGAATAACGGAAGGGCCAATCAGGAATTTTGGCTCACAACACGTAAAAAAAAAATATATACCAAAAAAAAAAAAAGCAAGTGATTGCTTGTAACTCAAAAACTCCTAAATTGGGATACTTGTAAATTTAGGTATCACTTCCAAGTAGACTTTACACTGATCTGCCAGGTAAAAAGTGGACAAACAATGTAGGACAAAATAATCATTGCGGTCTGTGTAGAGTAAGAACTGTTTTCAAGTGTTGAACCAAGATAGCAATAGTTTTAGCAAAATCCCCAGCCACCTGAATGACTGGCCTTGTTCATGCATTTTTTTTCATTTATGTCAGAGAAGGGGATGTAAATGATTACGTTATATTTAATGTTTAGCAGCCCCCCTCCTTTTTTTTTTAAGAATTTACAGTGTTTAAATTATTGTTTTTTTTTTCCCCCATTGTATTTTCACCATTGGAGGGGTCGATTGTAGGGTAAATATACAAGTACTTTAAATAGATTTATTGTTATATCTTCTGATCTAATTGGTGATCGAGTATTGGAATTTTCAAACTCGCTGATGGACTCCAAAAACCCTGATCATGTAAAGCCTACTTTCAGGTGTCAGGTAAAAAAGGTTTTCCTTTTACAAGTGAACTTTTAAGTATCAGGTTGTAAAGCTACATATGGATACAGAAACACCATTGCTGTGAATATACTGTACACAAGACACAAAAGCTATACTTACTTGTCCAATCATCTTCAAAGCAGTAGAGAAAATGGAAAACCACCATGAATAGAGCGTGGAGAGAGACAAGTGCAATGTACATCTGAATAAAAAGAAAACCAGATTGAAGGAACTACTGTGAGTCTAGAATAAAAAAAAATGGTCATATACAGTGCCTTGCGAAAGTATTAGCCTCCCTTGAACTTGTTGAAAAATAAAGATTGGTTTTCATTGAACCCAGAGTAATATCGGATCGTTAGGGATATCTGGAAAAAATATCAAGGTCCGAAATTTTGTCCAGATCGCACAGCCCTGGTACATATACTGTAGAACATGTGTCAAAGTCGAGGCCTGGGGCCCAGATCTGGCCTGCCATATAATTTTATATGGCCCGTGAAAGCGAATCAAGCATGTCAATTCCATTATGGTTGCTAAAGTGTGAACCAAATTGTCATATGTAATTCATATTAACATATGATATTGCAAGCATGTTCTCATTAGCAAACCCCTTACTACATTAATATAAACAATGCTTAAACAAGTCATGATTCTTTTACTTCTGATTTTAAAACTAGTTATGCGTCAATTTGTTGTGCGCTGTGTATGTAATATGTGGAGGTGATTAAACAATTATATGGTTTCACAAAATTCACCGTCATAATGGCCCTCAAAGGGGAAACCATAACTACAATGTGGCCTACGACAAAAATGAGTATGATATTGCATCAGAGGGAAAAGAGCAGGACTGTCAAACTACATTATTTCACAAATCGGACATCATTGCCAACTTACAGTGAACAGGACAAAGTACTTTTGATTGTTCTCTCCAACACAGTTGTTGACCCAGGGGCAGTGGTGATCCATCTTCCGTATGCAGCGTTTGCAAACACTAGGAGAGTCCATCAGAGATGTACATGAGAAAGTACCTTCAGAGATGCGCACCAAACGTGTATGTGTTGTTTTTCTTCTTTTTTTATTCGTTTGTGTCTGCTTATTCATGCACATTCGTGGATGTACTACGTATGTTTTCGACACCGACGCAAGGTGGCCAAAAGTTCATTTCAACCTACTCGGGCGAAATGGGCAAAGTAAAAAAATTGCCTTGGAACGCTTCAAATGTGACACTGGTCACCCAACGGCAGGTACTGCAGAGCACAGGGAGCCGTGGGTGGACTTATTTATTAAATACAACACCCCACTCCCAAGCTCCGCTGCTGTGGAGAGGGCGACATCCTCTGGCCAATAAGGCCTGCTCTGGCCAGTGCCAGCTTTGACAAGCTGGTCTTCCTCAAGGGGAACACTCTCTATTGGGGCACCCCAGCTAGGGGTAGTTTGAGGAGGAGAAGCAGCAGGGAGCCAAACACAGCTAATGAGCTTTAAATAATGTTGATGAATTATGAAACCTTTTTTTATGGGGGCGAGAGGGACAGACTGGTGAAATGTAAGGATGAAACTGCTTTAAAAAGATGAGTACAGACAGGGACGGAGGATGGTGACAGAAGGGTGCCCAGGTCAGGGATGGAGGACGGACCAGCAAGCTAGGGTAAAGTGCCCATCTCTGTCCTTTACCTGCAGTGGTGTGCTCGGTCAGGCTTGATACTACAGCACTTGGGACATTTGTAGACCACCTGTCCTGGTTTCAGCTGAAGACTTTCTATGTATTCCTTTGTTGCATTGCCTTTGGGCACTGCCCCCTGTAGGAAACAAGATATCTTTTAGATCAGTTCAGATCTCAACAGGTGGGTTGTGTGGAGCTAGTTCACAAAAGCACAGTGTTGCCAAACTAACTACCGGTACATTGTCACTATATTTTAGGGCTGGGAAATAAAGTCGACAAACTCTGTTGTGTCAACCACAAAAATTGGTCGACAAAAAATGCACGCCTTAAAACTGTTAATCGGTTATTATATAACTGCTTACATTTCGGTCAACGTGCCGCCATGCTTGTCAGCTGTCACGTTTTGAGAAGGGAGGGCGTTGGCAGACGAATGGCAGCTAGCGGCCGTGACATAAATACACCAGCCTTTCGGGAAAATGACCCTTTTTTCATGAAATTCCCAATGGCCACTCCATCACTGGATTGCAAGCATTTTGGTTAGCAAAACCCCTTATTACAGTACCATGAACAATAGTTGAACAAAGTGTTATTCTTGACTTCTGATTTCAAAATGGTTATCCATCAACTTGTTTTGTACTGTATATACAATGAGGATGAAATGAAACATTTAGAAGATTTCAGTCATCACGGCTCTCCGAGGGAAACCGTAACTACTATGTGGCCTGCAAAAAAAATAAGTCTGACCCACTGCTTTAAACAGTCAAAATGAAAGTTTTATATCATTAATGCAAAGCAGAGCTTGGGTCAGTTGAAGACTGCGGTCACGAGAACACGGGTATGTACATGCATGGCTAAAAGTGCACTACACAGCACTATGATCATAAGGTTGGATATTAATTTATTACTCATTATCTCATGTAATGTAGCCTATTATTACAATTGAGAAAGCACTCGATGGCGCATGTACACGATGTCCACAAAGTCTACATACAAGAGAAATATCACTATTTTTATATTTCTGCCCAGAATGAAGAGGTCTCTGTTTAAAGAACGAATCGATTTGGTACTCTTAAGGGGATGAAAAGGTTCTTTTTTTCCCCATGTACCCAGACTTTATGGACACCATGCAGACTCCACACTATATTGTATTCATTTTGCAAATGACGCTTGTGTGAGTGGCTGTTTACTTGGATGCCTCGAGGGCTCTTGCGAACTAGTGTAGCTCACACTGAAGAGGCTAAAGCCGCGCCAGTTAGTCTGATCACTACTTAAACGAGGAGCAAAGCATGATCTTTAACTAAATCGTTCTGCACAGTAAAACTCATCTCATGCAGTTCAGTCTTCTCTCGCAAAACTTAGAGCAGCTTACTTCAAAGCACGTCGACAGTGATCGACTGTGTGCCGATGAATTGATGGAATAATCGATGGGCTAATCTATTGCAAAAACTTTTGTTTGTTAAAGCCCTACTATATTTTGCGACTTTTCCCCACCTAATTTTCAAACAAGCGACTCGAAACTTTATTTGCCGTCTTTCTCACATGTCTGTGTCATGCTTCCGTCATTTACAAAATACATTTTTACATTGTTTAGTACCATGCTGAAATCAGAATGCTTTGAGGGGCGGTCCTGACTTATTCAAATGAGCTACTTCTCATCCTGCCAGTCAGAGCTATCACAGACAGTAAAAGTATCAATTGTATTTTCACTCCTGAACACGGATCGGCTGATGATACGGAATTAAAGTAACGGTACTGTTATTCGGGTGGACATGAGCACATTCTTTTTAAACTCAACTATGAACGTGAACAATACAGATGTCATGTATGCTGACACATGGTGGTATCAGTCATTGTAAAGGTACTTAGAGCCAACTACAGTAGTCACACCTGGCTATTAACAAGGGCATGGCATCTACAAATATCTGCAGCTAGGTCCAGAATTTCTGGAAATCACCAATATAACACAACACAATTCAATCATCTGAGTAAGTCACTTACAGGATCAGTGCACATGGCTCTGAGGTGCGAGGCAAGGGCAAGAAAGGCCAGAGCATTGAATAGAGACCCATTGACAATGCTGTACGTCAGATTCTTTGAGGGCAGCAGCATTACAAACAGCACCACAAACTCTGCATACAAAACCAGCAGCCATGTAATGATAGCGCAAATGATGCCACAGGCGTCCTTAATGAACCACATGGCAGACGCCGACGAGGAAGTAATGACGTCCTTGGAGATGGGAATGCGATGCTCCGTCTGAAATAAAGTGGTTCGTGCCCAAGCTTGCCCACGGCTCTGCTCCACGTCCCTGCATCTGTGCACTGGGCTCTTCATGCTTCATCGATGCTCAATAGCTGCTGCTGGTCCCCCTGCACCTTTCGGCCCCAGTAAAGGTCACCACATGCTGGGAAGGAGGAAGAGGGTCAACTTCACTCATTGGTCATAGAAGGTTTGACTTTGAACAACGACATTTTTAGAATGTCTTGACGTCATCTTCATCTCACATTTTAAAAACAGGTCTTAGCCTCATCCAGTGTGATCTCAGTAAACTGTCCAACCTCTCTTCTCTCTCGGGTATATATATATATATAAAATGACGTCAATTTTATCAGTTACATTCGCAAAATTTGGCCGAAATTGAAAGCCTCATAAAAATGCACTAACGTAGAACAAACTGAAGTCTCCGCAACTCTAAAATCAATATTTATTATGAATATTGAAACTTGGGATAAAAATTTTCACTCGCGCACGGTCCCATTCACTTGAATGAGAGCCGCAGCCGAGGTTTCTCCTTCGGCGGAACGCAGTCGGATGGCCGTGGCACCGCCTAAGGGGCGGCCTGCTTTAGGCGGCAGTCGGAGTTAAAACCTGCCCTGGTCATTGTCGTCTGTAAAGTGGAGTCTGCAAAAATCTGACACAAAAAAGCTAACATTTCTTTGTACTGTATGACCGAAATCACACTAGAAAAAGGTAAACATGGACATCTCTGGGGATTCAGCATTTACAATTGTATTCGGTCACGAAAAGGTGAAACCTCACTTGAAATGAAATCAAAGTGAAAGTGAAATCAAAATTCTCAACGTCACCGAGTAACACCAGACACCACATGTACGGCCAAAATGACCTGAAGTAATAATAATCATAAATCGTAATCATTTATAGTTGCGTTATTCCCAGTCGCCTTTAATTAAAGAGTCATGTAATTTTATTGCTAATTCAAGACGTACACAACCTGCCTGCAATATATTTCGTAGGGATGCTAGTAACAAAAGATCACCTAGTACCAAGTCCGGCAAAATAAACGAATTCGATATCACCTGTAGGTTGATGTTGATGTTTAGCCTGCTAACGCTAAGGAGCGAGAGTACTTACATTCTCGTTCACAAATTTAAGTCAGTTGTGTTGGCTTCAGATGAAAAGCAACGGACGCCCGGGAATATATGCCTGCTATCATATTACGTTAGCTGACTTTATTTTAGTTTATTTTCCTCCCATCTAAAGAGTGAACATCGCTTGGACCATTCCTTGTTTGCTGCTAACACTGGAAAACCTGGTTGTCTCGTTTCGATTCTTCTTCTCGTAGTTTTAAGGCGGTTGTCAGGAACCCTTTAAGTGCATTACCGCCACCTACTGGTATGGAGTGTGGACCAGGTTTGCCAGCTCACCAATACTGTACCACAAAAAGCTGAAAATCCACACTAAAAAGCCGTAGACCTAAAAAATATATTACAGGTATATATAAATATGGCAACTCTCACTTTTATTTGATGGTACTACAACCACGATATTGAAATGATACTCAAAGATCTCATTCGTTACAACTAATAAATTTAAAGTAAGACTGCATTATATTGTATAAACTTTCAATAGGGGTGTTGCATTTTCCAGTATCACTGATATTGCGATATTTACCATGTACCTAAAGAAACTACACATTTATTATTGAACAAAGATTTTTTTTTTCATGCTGAAAAAAATTGAATGTTTTCTTATCTAAATAAGTTCTTCGGTGTTAGTAATGCCCCGAGATACTGTTCTCCTATTGAATGGCGATGCGCATTTAAAGTTGCATCTGATTGGTCAAAGTTAGATTAAAGTGAGCAATTCGATATGAATTTGGTGCACGTCTTTTGCATTCAACATGAAGTTTCTAGGAAACTGATGCATTTACTCTGATGCCTGCTTGGAGGCGGAATATTGGACTAGCCTGATTAGCTAGGAAATTTCTCCCCAAGTGTTGCTTTCAGTCATCTTGGTACTCATCTTGTCTGTGCTTGCGTGCAAAGAAGCCAAGCTGCATGGAAATGATAGCAAATGATGTTCCCATCGCTACCCGGACATGAGTTGACTTGATAAACATCAGCTATTATACAGGTTCACCTTCCAATAGTATGAAGATGATGAGCATCAGGAGCAGCAACCACGGATGCTCACATGATCCAAAGTCAGATGGGAATGGCTTGTCCCTTTAACACCTCCAGTAGAGTGTTTAGGCAAGTGGACATTTTTGAGAAAGTCAAAGATTTTAATTGTTCTACTGTGTGCCAGGGTGATGAGGTTGATCTCAAGAGGTGCGATCTGATACATGCCAATGATCCTTGTTGATTTATAGTTGGCCTGCAGACAAAAACGATGCACATTGTGGAACCTCAATTGCTTGTACCAAGTGTACAATTAGATTGGCTGGCAACCGGTTCAGGGTGGCTCCCGTCTACTGCCCAAAGACAGCTGGGATAGGCTCCAGCACCCCCCCCCCCACCCCCCGACCCTTGTGAATATAAAGCGGGTCGGAAAATGGATGGATGGAAGTGTATAATTACATAATGACCCAGAAATAATCATTTTTAGTGGCATTGTAAAATCCATCTTAAAAAAAAAAAATCTGTCCTATACAGGCCAGGCCAATAGTTTACAATGTAAATGTCAAGGCAAAATGCCCTTGAGGCAGACAAGAGACAGATCAAGCACTTTTCGAAATACCAGGCAATCATCGTTTGCCTGGCCTTCCCAAACTCAGCACATTCATCTTGCATTCTCAACTCAAGTCAACTGTATTTATAGAGCACTTTAAAACAACCACTGCTGTCTACAAAGTGTTGTACATGGAGCAAATATCATAAGTACAACAAATGGAAAACACAATGTTGGAGAGAGACAGAAACCAGGTCTACTTTTTTATCTTTGCACTAAAACAAAACATTACATTAGGTTGTCATATGGTCACAAATAATGCATTTTAATGCAAAGGCACATGTTTTTCTAACAATCACTTGGTCAAGAAACTCAGTGGTGCCCTGGCACAGGCCCTTTTGGCACTCATGACCAAAAGGCCCCTTTGACCGTTTTTTTAAGTGCGTGTGAATGGCATTTTATTTGCCTATGAAAATAATCGAAAACATAATTTATATAAATTAAATCATTATTATTACGCTAGCCTTGTTCACAAGATCCTCTCGGAGGACCTCATGTACTACTATACTTGGTCGCTACTCGCTCCACTTTTATTGTTTAATTAATTTAGTCTCGTAGTACACAAAAAGCCAAGGACATAGCAGTGTTTAATGCAGAAAATTCACGCAAAACTAGTTTCGTAATTTGATAGGTCTTGTCCACATATTATCACTGATTGTGTTATAATACTGCGAGCTAGCTTAAATTGAAATGGAGTCAGTGTCACATGAGTCTTGTTCTTTTATTCAAATTTGAGTGAGGTGCAAAAGATTCGAAATGTTCTTTCAGTATCGTGCATGAGCGCATTTCACTTGTGTTCATGAGCAAAAAAGAAAATCTGTCGTGTGTATGGGAACATTTCATTTGTGCGTATGAAAGCATTTCACGAAAATGTATGAGTGTGTGTTCACTTGTGTTAATGAGGAAAAGAAATTTCAGCAGTAAATGTGAGAGGTAATCCTGAATGATGTCTCTGACGGCCACTCATTACTTTTTACCGGGTGACTATGTAAACACGCTGAAAATGGAAAAAACAAAACAAAAACAAATGAGCATGTGTTGCAGCCTTGGTGACGTGGGGCTCCAAGGCTACAACAACACTTGCGTACATCCATCACAAAACTAACCCACGCTCTCAAAACATTGTGGTCAACTTCAGCTCATATAGCATTCATCCTTGGCTGAAATACTCAGACATGTGACAAGTCATTTTCGATAGGTCCTTCAAAGAAGGCAGTGGTGAATCAAGGTAGGTTTTTACAACAGTATTCATCTAATTTAAGTTTTTCCCTTTACATTGTATTTGCAAGACGTAAGCCGGATAATAATGTTACAAAAATTAGGTTTTAGAATAAAATTGCAATCAAGTCGTACTTCAACTTTAAACTGCGAATGTAACAACAATTAAAGATTTCAATTCAGAAATCGTAATACCTATCTATCTATCTGATAGATGTAATTATAGTAAATAAGATTTTGATAACCTGACTTTATTTGTTTTAGTGGGTCCTTGCAGGACAAATGTAGCAGAACAACCCGTAAATAGAGATGTTCAACATTGGGATGTTGTGTGCGTCAATGAATACATTTTGTATGAGGTCTTTGCCCTCTGAGTGCCTCTCTGGGTGCATGTTTCATTCTGTTATTATGAGGAAACTTGCAGGAAACTTTCCAAACTTCTCTCAGAAGAACAAAAGCCCAACTTTTAGCACCTCAGTCTAAATATAAGCAAATCATTATTAGCACCTCTGGTCTGAATCATTGAGGGAGTCCTGATACCAAATCTGTCAGTGTTTAAATTTTAAGAAATAGCCCATGATTAAATATACAAACTTCTGTACAATAGAGTATGGTCAAAGAAAATCTTGGAAACTATGAATGTATAAATCTGAACCCATCTTGGTGAATACAGTGTTACAGGATACTCAGTGTCAGTGTTGCTGTAGCAAAGTGGGACACGAGGTTATTCTGACGAGATCGTGATTCTCAATAACTCACTGCTTCAAAGCACATAGTCATTGAATTAAATGAAAGCAAAGGTGGCTGGGCAGGCATGTGCTGCTTTGTGCATTTGTGCTTCCTGTGGATTTGATGAAGTTTCATGACAAAGTAATGGAAGAACACTGTCATCATGCTGCTTCACTCAGGCATTAGTGTTATATAATAGAGTTCAGTTAAATAGGAACAGAATAGAAATCCTTTCATATGCCTCAGTCTGGTATTATTTGCTGGTCTCATTTGAGTTGAAAAAAAAAAAACAAAACCAAAAAAAAACATCAGCTACATTTTTACGGTCTGTTTTTCAACATGTTATGTGGCACACATGCTTTCTTATCATTTATACTAAAAGCCATGTACCAATTTACATGAGCCAGAGGTTAGGGTTATAATAATTTTAGATTTTTCATTATACTGTAGTTAGTTTTTATTCATTTTGAAAAAAACCCTTTTTATTTTATTCATTTCATAGCAGTTTTTTTTTTATTTAGGTTGTATTCGTTTTTTGTTTTTCAAAAAATACATTGTTTTAGTTTACTTTTTAATAGTTTGAGTTTTTAATGTCAGGAATATTTTTCAGCTGCAAGATTAAAAAAAGGTCGCAGATGTGTAGTAAGGTAAACTACTTTGAATAACTCTTAAATGACTGTTTGACTTAAATGGAGATTTTAGCTTTAATTATAGCTTTACTGAGTTTTACAACCGTAAAATGTAGTTTCAGTTGTCATTTTTTTAAATCACTCCGGTTTTTACTTTATTTTGTTAACAAAAAATATTTTTTCATTTTATTTATTGCGTTTACTTTGTTTAACTATAATAACCTTGGGCAACACAGTGAACCACTGGTTAGCACATTTGCCTCACTGTACAGAGGTCCAGGGTTCAAATCCGGGCTACGTCATTTCTGCGTGGGAGTTTGCATGCTCTTCCATTCCAGGCCGAAATTGTCGCGCATCAGGGCCGATTTGGTTTGTTCTAACCAGTTTGTCTTGTCTACAACTTGCTTGTCTTTCTGTAGGTGACCGGAGAGGACACATTTTAAAACATCTAATGCCACATTGAAACATTGACAGTGAAGAAGCCATCTGGCCAAAGGACACAATCCCCATCAAAACTGCAGGACTGCAAGAAAAGATTAGGGGAAAGACATTATGTGACAGGTACCAAGTGGGCAGTGACGGTGCACACAGTATCTGTTTGAGTTTCACACTGTTTTTGTTTGACTGCCATTTCCCGAGGAAGGTCTCGATAGCCCAACTATCCGGAATTGTTACACTGGGCAATATGGAGCCTCGGAACATTTCAACAAGACTTTGCTAATATCAACCTGCATGAGCATGCCGCAAGACTGAAAGCCAAAACGTATCGTCTTTTCGTCAGTATAACACCAGAGGACGAGAGTAGTGATTTTGAAATTTTGGGAATTTTTGTTTTCATTTTCAGTTTCTTATAAAGAGCAGCTGTCTTGTCTGATCATGAACACCTCGATGAACAAGACAGACTGCCCAGAGTTGACTGTTCCTGTCCCTGTCTTCTTCACCATTGGCGTATTCAGTTTGATGGAGAATCTCTTGGTTGTGGTGGCTGTCATATACAACCGAAATCTCCACTCGCCCATGTACGGCTTCATGTGCAGCCTAGCGGGCTTCAACACCATCGCCAGCCTCGCGAAAACCTGTGAGAACGTCCTGCTTGTTTTCGCAGATGCCGGACAACTGGAGAAGATAGGTTCCTCTGAGACCAAGCTTGATGACGTGATTGACTCACTGCTCTGTATGTCCTTTCTGGGTTCAATTTTCAGTTTCCTGGCCATAGCCGTGGACCGGTATGTATATAGGTGTCAGGATGTGAACGTAGCCACAATGCTTAATATTACATTTTGTGTTTCAACTTGACAGTTTGGGCCAATCACAGGGCAATAACGGCAAAGCTATCGCTTCTTTGTTTTTTGTATCTAAGCATTCATCAAATTGTCAACTGTGAATGCTAAAATCGTCACTGCTCCAAAAAAAAAACCTCCAACTCATTCCATACTCCTTTGTTTTATTATGCAGTCTAATTATACAGCTAATTAACGGCAGTAATCATTTCCATATTTGCATATTCTGAATAGGGCTGTAGTCAAGTCCAACTTTATGGAGCCCAAGTCAAGTTCAAGTCACAAAAGGCCGACTCCAAGTCAAGTTAGCGTGCCCAATGTGCGAGTCCAAGTCCAGAAGAGATCTAGAGTAAACCTAAAGACAGAAAAATACAATTTTCACAAACACAAAATGAGAGAAATTTCATTATGCTCAACACTCTTTATCGATAACACGGAATCCTTTGCCTTATTAACAGGTGTGCAAATGGACAACAAAAACGACCTCTTTGTGGTGCAAAATTCGAAATGGTGCTGCATGTGTCCGAAATTGTCTTCTTATAGAACCTATAGGTTGCTTCATGATTGTTTTTTTTCCCCTTAAGACGCTGTGGCTAATGTCAATTCTCAGTTGTTTGTAAAACCAAGTTTTATAACCCTGTTGTTGTCTGACAAGATTGTGTGCTTTGGCGCACTCGTTCAGGTTAACCAATCAGATGGCTGTTTTGATCATCTCCATCCATCCATCTATTTTCCGATCCGCTTTATCCTAACAAAGGCCGCGTGGAGTGCTGGGGCCTATCCCAGCTGTCTTCTGGCAGTAGGTGGGAGACATCCTGAACCGGTTGCCAGCCAATCGCACGGCATAGTTTGATCATCTGTAACATTTATTTCAAGTTTCTTTTGAAGGAGGAAGTTCATTTTCAGGACTAAAAACATACCAGTAATTGGACTCGGTCGAGTTAGTGATGGGCCAAATGAATCGTCTCAAGCAAAAGTGGGAGTGCCAAATGGAATCCTGATTCGGAGCGTGTATCGTTCATTCGACGTATCGTTGCCTCCTATCACAAACGAAGCCTCGGTTTGTGCGGATGACGCCATTGGTTCATTCAAAGTATAATTATCTCATAACCTGTCTTCAACACCTCATGCCGCTTTGCAGGTCCCATCCCAATTGAAATATTTTTTACATCACAAGTAAAGCAATTAAACAAAATACATTAAATACAACAAGAAATTGTGTCGAGCTGGGACTCGAGTCAGATTCCGGACTCAAGTACTACAGCCCTTGTTCTGAATATTATGAACTTCAGGGAAATTCAAACGCTACATTTTTGCTTTGGTTAGAATTTCTCGTAGTTATTAACTTAGTCACTTAGTATTAAGCAGCAATATTGCATAATAGTCAAATAATCATTAATGCTTCTTATTGCAGATACGTCTCTGTATTCCATGCACTTAGATACCACAACATCATGACAATGCGGCGTACAGGGACCAGTCTGGGCATCATCTGGACAATTTGTGGGGTGTCAGCCATGTTCATCGTGAGCTTCTTCGACTTCAAGTTCATCATGATCTTCTTTGTTTGCCTATTTTTGATCTGCTTTGTCGTCATCTGCTTCCTTTATGTTTATATGTTCATGCTGGCACGTAACCATGCCAGGAAAATTGTCTCTGTGAACTCAGGTGGCGGTGAAAAATGTCGTTTGAGGTGGTGGGGTGGCAGTATGAGAGGAGCCATAACACTTACTATCCTCTTTGGAGCATTTGTTTTGTGTTGGGCACCTTTTTTCCTCCACATCATCATCATGGCCGTATGCCCGACTGACCCATATTGCGAGTGTTACAGGTCACTCTTCCAGCTCCATGTGTTGCTGCTTATGAGCCATGCCCTCATTGATCCTGCTATCTATGCCTTCCGCAGCGCAGAGCTTAGGCATACGTTCAGAAAGATGCTTCCTTGTTCATGAGAGATACAGCCTTTATTTAAAATCTTCCTGTGGGTCTATTTTCATTACCTGAGCAAAATTGACGTACAGTTCCATTCTATTGATACGCTTTCCATCCATCCATCCATCCATCCATCCATCCATCCATCCATCCATTTTCTACAACTTGAGCTGGGGTCTGTCCCAGACTACTTCCTGAAATGGTCACCAGGCAACCACATGGCAGTATTGACAACCGTACCCCTGGACACAGACCTGGGCCCGCCCACAGTAACTGACTGGCCCACACAGGGACCATGACGTCAAAGTAAAACAAAAAAGATTCAGTGCTTTTGTTTTTAAAGTTATCCTTTTAGTTTACGCGAAGACACGCGGACTCTTGTACAAGCAAGTTACCCATTGAAGACCTAAAGCTTGTGTCTGCAGTATTGCCAACTTTGCAATGTTTTCGCTATATTAGCGGCCTTTCCAACTCTAGCAATGATTTTTCCAAAGAAAAAAACAAAACACAGTGGTTGTAATGTTTCTTGCATGGTGGAGGGAAGAGTGCCAAAAAGACTTAGCCTGATAACACTGTACACAAATCTACAATTCCATACACTGTACCTATTGGGTGTATTAAAAGTCATCACTCGATGACTTAATATTTCACTTCCCAATTGTTTGGAAGTCCTGACTAATATGAGTTTGCAGTAGGTGCACAAAATTCATGTTATCATTTTTAAAGATATCAAACTTTATTGAATGCTTACAATTTTGTTTAAAATTTGTATTTCTTAATTCTAACAATACATATTTACATCCCGCACATAGAAATTTATTGACACAAGAAAATGTTTTTACCCGGTACAGTAATGGTGTTGAGCAGGTATGGGATTTAATTTTGTGAACAGAATTTGAGAGAAATAGGCCTTTTTTTGGTAATAAATCTTATATCTTTATTCATTGTACAATTATTATTATGTCATAATTAGACCATATTTATTACTTACCTCATTCAACATGCATCTTCATGTTCTGATTTGTTTTTTCATTCTTCCTTGGATTCCATTTACATTAATTTTTTTTTCCTCCTCAATACTTTGCATTTTCTACATTGTTTGCTTCTGTAATAATACAACTGCATACTGTAAAAGGTGTGAATGTTACTGCTAAAAATTTTCATTTTCATCATGAGATCAATAAAGTATATAATGCTGTTTGCAATGCGTTCTGCCATGCTAAAAGGAGGCTTGATCCTGCACGAAAATCAAGATGCTCCAGTTTTTGCGCTTGAGGGTGCTTGCGGTATTGAGCAAAATAGAGCCCATAGATGTTCGTGAAAAATGGACCATAGTGACAACAGAGATCCTTTAAACCAGTGGTGTCAAACATACGGCCCACGGGCTGGAACTGGCCCACCAAGGAGATTCGATCAGGCCCACAGGATCATTTTGAAGTGAAAAAATGCATAAAAGACATGGAATGAATATTTTTAATAAGGTGCAATTCATGGAGTTTTGATCAGGGTAGAAGACAACATTGTTTTGATCAGACAAGAAGACAACCACAGTCTCAGTCTGTCACTGAGACAGACCCAACACAGCAGACGCTATCAAGGACATGTGAATAATTTATTCTTAACACATTTAATAGCACTCTCCTTAGTTTGTAAGGTGTAGGCAGTGATTAAATGTAGATTTTATATGCACATGTATAAATGGTTTAAAAATGCCTTTCTTTATAAATCTCGTTTAATCTTAAAATGCATAACTATATTTTTCAATACCAATTACTTGTTAAAGTTTTGTGCCTTTGTACAATCAGTGAGTTCAGTTGCAATGCATATATGTGAATAATAAAAGTAAATTGCACATTTGTCTAAGGAAATCTAAGGTGCTTCATGAAATGTTTTGTAAAAAATACGTTCATTAAATTTCAACATTTTCCTAATGGTCCTGTGCTTCTTTAGACCAAAACAAAAGAAAGACATATTAATTTGGTTATTTATAGCAGAGTATGGTATAATTTTAATGGTCCGGCCCACTTGACATCTACCGAGGCCGTATGTGGCCCACAATGTGAAATGAGTTTGACACCCCTGCTTTATTTAAACAGTACCAAAGAATGAGCTCTCAGTCTTAGAAAGGATGATGACTACTCCCTTATGCTTATCTCTTACATGTGACCCCATATTTAATTTGTATGCTTTTAAAACAACATGTCCTATAGTTCTTGTGGCAGTAAGTTTTACTGTTCGCATTATTCTCAGTATGTATTCCAAACAGTGTGAACATTGAGAAGTAATAGCATTAACATTGCCCTGTTCCTCTGGAAATAACATCAGCATCTGCACTTTTCCTACCTTTGTAGATCCTGGCGGGTTCTACCATATTCTCAACAATTAATTGTTTTTAAAATCAAAACACTTACATAAATTTGTCTTTCCACGTTAACATGCTGTTTATGCGTTTACAAACCATGGCTCAATCAGGGAGAAATGTTGTATCTCAACAAGAAGATTTTCTTTAAACAGCGTTGTAGTGGTCATTTTGCTTTATTGTTGTATATGTGATAGTTGTTCCATGTACATCACTTTGTATGCAGTGATGGCTGTTTCAAAGTGCTCTATAAATACAGTTGAGTTGAGTTGAGAGTTGAGAGTCATTACATGCATAGATTTTACAATATTTTTACCCGCCTTCCACCCCAGCAAAAAACAAAAAACATAAAACAAATAGATTAGGTAAACAATTGCCCTCTTCATCCAGGTGAGTAATCAATTGATTTATTGGAATTTCATTCGACTGTACTGTTTTAATTTGTCTGACATAACAATTGGATTTTCTATGAGGCCTTGTAAATGTAGTATCATAAATCAACATCCAGCACTGAATATTAAATCGGGTTGTTATAAAGCTCTGGTGTCAAATGTCATTTCATTGCTCTATTTCTGCTGTTCAGCACTTACCAGTCAGAGCACAGATGCTGCTGTAGCAATTCCTTAGGTTAAAACAGCAGAATATCTCCTTAAAAGTTTTCCTCATTTCCTGACTCCTGAAGGCATAGATCAATGGATCAATGACAGAATTGCACATGATGAGGATTAGGTACATGTTAAAGTGGGACATGAAGCACACGCAGTAGACCTTCCGTGGACAGGATATCATCAGGATGAGATGGAGGAAGAAGGGAGCCCAGCAGACGATGAAGATCCCCAGTAGAATGGTCAGTGTGATGGCGCCCTTCATGCTTCTCCGCTGTTGGATGGTGTTGCAACCGGAAAGAGCAGCAATGCGCTTGACATGTGAGCGCGCCAGAATGAACATGTGGCTGTAAAGGGATGCCATGATGAGCAACATGCTGAAGAACATGGCCACAAGGCAGATGATAACAGAGGGGGTATCGGAGTAGATGATGAAGATTATCCCGCAGCCTGTGCAGAAGGTCCAGATTCCCCCAATGATGCAGCCAGCTCGCTTTACTGTCATGATGTTGTGGTACCTCAGTGCATAGAAGATGGTAATGTATCTGTAGATAACAAAAACATCACGTTCATGTTACTGTTGATTTGAGAAGTAAGACTGTTTAGCATGAAAACTGTCGGCGTCCACCAGTATGTGGTGGCGGCGCTAGACTTTTATCCTTGGGGTGAACAAGGCTATCTCAGGGGACCCGCAAAACAAAAACTTGGACATACGTTATCAACAATCAACATCATTTTTACATTGAAAAAATGTGCACGCACGCACATATACTTACTGTTTCACAGTTACTCACAATCACTCATACACATATATTTATTTGTATATAAATAAATAATTGATTTTTTTTTTTTACTTAACCACTTCATGAAGGAGACCAAACAACACATTTTAAATTGAATGAACCAACACTGTAGACAAAATACATGGGCGAGAGGCAGTTTTCACTCTGAACTTCTTGCCAGCCAATCACATGGCACATATTAATGACGAAGCATTTAGACTCACATTCACACCTGCATGCTTTTGGAATGTGGGATGACGCCAGAGTACTCAGAGAAAACTTACAGAAGCATGGGGAGAATATGCAAACTCCACACATACCGGCCTAAATCAAGATTAGAACCTCTCTCGAGGCAGACATACTGTACCTTAACCACTACCCTACTGCTCTGCTCAAGTGATGTCATTATTGATTTTATTAACTTTAATTATAATTATTTGCCTTGAGAGCTGTTTATAAAAGACATAAATTAAACGAGAATGACTTGAGAAGTGATTTTAACTGCAATGAAATGGCATTTTGGCTTCTTTTACATAGCATTCCAGTTTTATCTAGCTGAACAAAAGCAACAATTTTGAAAATAGTGGTGCCTTTAACAGTTGAATTTGTTCAGTGACCAAGCTTAGAACTCAATTTTCCTCATATTTCAATCATTCTTACACCTTAAAATGAATTGGAATGCTCAGAAACACCACCATTTTTGCATAACTTTCTAATAATTTAAAATATTACTCTATATTGTATAAAACAAAAACAAAAACAGTAAAAGAGAATTTTAAGAAACTAGTTTCATAAAGTGGAATTACTTTCTTTTGAATTACTTTATGTTAAATCATGATGGGCCGAAAGGAAAAATAAGTGCAGTGTGGTGTATTTCAGGGGTGCAGGCTAATGACTGACATGAGGACCACGGCTGGTTGCCTGTTTGTTGTCTTGTTGTAATGTCTGGACATGATTATGTACTGTAGTAGTGTACTGTTGTGAGTGTTTTGTTCTGTTGCACGGCTCAATAAACGTCTGAAAGTGCACAAGTGCATGGCTTATCTGAAAAATCACTAAAATTCTAATTTTGCGAGCAAAAAAAACAACAACAATGAAGTGATAGCTTGAAAACCTTCGAAGTCGAGGCACTCGCGAGTCACGGTACCACAATAATGGAACTAGGACTGACGTTCATTATAATGTAAATAAGTACAATAATGTACATTTTCCTCTGTTTGTTGAAGTAGAAGTTTCAGCTGGTGATTACCTGTCCACAGCAATGGCCACGAGACTGCACATTGATGCTACCACAGAGATACAGATCATGGAATCAAAAACATTATCCATGTGTCGAATGAAGTGCTCCTCCACCACCAGCTGTTTGTTGTTGAGCATGTAAATGACG